CAGTGCAAGTGTCTAGCTAATAATGCAGTGCAAGTGTCTAGCTAATAATGCAGACAATTCAGTATTTTATCATCAACCAAATTTTATCATCAACATTGAGAATTACTTACCCAATAACATAAAATATCAATATTCTTTCACCACCAATGATAATACTTACAAAAGCAAAATATGGATTTTGACCTTATAAGATTAATCCTTCAGGATAAAACAAAACCCCTGTAACATACCAATAGTTAGATAATAATTCTTTTATACTAAAATTTGTATTTTTTGAGGTTCGGGATTAAGCTCGGGGCTGTAAATACATAAATTGCTTGCCCCACACTGTGCTAAACCCCTGCCCTCAGCCCCATAAATCCACATTTTTGTGGCAGACATACACTCAAATTATTTTTTAAAGTGAAATGGGCAGAGATTTTATGGAGTTTTGTTTATTTGTTGCTGAGATTGGCTGGTCACACTTTTTGGTGGCTAAAGAGGGCCTTGAACTTTTAGCCCTCTGACTGTAGAATGTCACAGGTGAGCATTTCCATACCTGGTTTGGGGCATATATTTTAGTGAGAAATTACACTGAGGATAAGGGTGCATTTGTGAAAAAAATAGCTAAGGAATTTATAATCAAATTACCTAAATCAAAACAAATCAAAACAACTCCTCCTAAAAACCTCTGTCACTCTGCTAGCTGAGTTGGCAAACCTTTCTATAGGTATTCTTTATCTTCTAAACATGAGTAATCATTTCTAATCTTGCACTTGAAAGGATTATAATTTGTTAGTAATTCAAGCTGCTTAGAATTATGTCTGGAAAGTGTTAACTACTATTAGGATAAAATAGTAGTGATTATAAGAGGATATTCTTTAATTTCATTTTATTATAAAGCACAGCAGCACAATGACACTAACACTATTGCAATCACATTGTGCAAACAGAAAAGTTGCTTTCAGTGATAAACACTTCCCTGGGCTCTGTGAAACAGTTTGCCTGTGTATTCCATTACTGTTTTCAATATACACTCATGTAATAATATAAAGCATAAGTTACATTTGGGCACAACTCCTTATAGAAAATGATCATACATAAATCTCATATCTAACAAACATTTGTTATGTTCCTATTGTGCTACCTGACACAGGTCATTCCACAGAACAACCGCTTTAATGTCTAGCCCGTGCTGTGGGGCTCCTTAGAAATTCGCTAAGTGAGGGAAGGGAAATCCCACCAATGGATAATCTTGTTGCTGACCTGCTGGGCTTTAGGATTAGCATGGAAGCAAACTTCTAGACACATCTGTGAGAGATTTTCAGGACGAGATTAACTGAGGCATTAAATGTGGGTGACACCATCCCATGGCTGAGGTCCCAAACTGGGTAAGAGGGAGAAGTGAACTGAGGACAGCACTTCTCACCCCCTCCCGCTATAGGTGTGATGTGACCTTGAGCTCCTTCGGCCATGACTTGCTCACCTTAGTCTGTGAGCTACACTGAGTCCCTGCCTACATTGCCTCTGTCAGGTATTTTATCATAAAAAAAGGCCTAATATAATGACTAAATTACAAAGTAAAGTATAACTTGTGACTCATTTAGCCATATATCTTGTGTACCTCAGAGGCAAAGGAATTTGGGTGGGGGAAATCCAAAATGTACCTAATTTGAGAGTGGTTCATAGATGAAGCCCACTTTGCAGATAAAAAGCTAGAAGAAAGAGATATGAATTATATAATCAGGCTATTAATCTTGGTTCATTAATAAAACAAATATTAACATCTTAAGACAAAGAAAGCAAAGATTCACCTGTGCTTTTCCTGATACATCTTGAAGGGATAGTATTTCAGATTTTAAGTATGTGTTTTCTTCATGTTCCTTCTTGAGAGACATTTGTGTACCCTATTCGAGGAAGAAGACAGTTGTTTTCTTTTTCACATGTGCAAAATATTATGCGTATCTCTATTAAAACATCTGTAATCTGACCAGTATCAGTTTAAGGTGTGCATGTATGTGTGTGCATGTGTGTGTGTGTGTGTGGTGTCTTGATATCTTTGACTTTCAGACACCCTTTTATTTCTCAAAGGGCTTACTAAGCCTATATGAATGCAGAGTACTCTCGTTGGCTGCTGGTGGGAATGAAAACTGGTAGAGCACTTTGTTACATAATTTGGCAAATTCTTATAAAGTAAAGCTGTTACATGACTGAGCAACCTATCTTCCAGGTCTCCTTCGGGGAGTGGAAGGCTCACATGTGCACAAAGCCCCATGCAGGGTTGGCTCTAGCCTCATTCTTACTTGCTGAATTTGAAAACACCCAAGATGTCCTTCAGAATCTCACTCAACTCCACTTCCTAAAGTCTCCTGGCTCAAGCACTTGTATAGTTTTTGAGCAGAACACTCACTGCTGCTGCACTCTAGTCCCCATAGCAAGAGTTGGAGGGTGTACACTTGCTCAAGAGAACTGCTCATGAAATACATAACTCAACCGGAAAACTTATGAGAAGAAAAATTACTCTGTTAAAGAAAAAATCCTTCTCTTAAAAGCTATTTCTCTTAATTTTTTAGATATTATAATGACATCACTTCCCCTTCCATTTTCTTTCTTCCATTTAATATTATTTAACACTAGAAATAAGCTATCAAGCCATCAAAACATACAAAGGAAATTTAAATATTTATTAAACTGAAGAAGCCAATTTAAAAGTTTACATATATGATTTTAGCCATATAGCATTTTGGGAAAGGCAGATCTATAGAGCAATAGTTACCAAGGGGAAGAAAGGAATAGGAAAAGGGATTTAGGGAAGTGAATCACTCTCTATATATGTGTATATGTCTATACACACACACAGACACACACAGACACACACAGACACACACACACACACACACACACACACACACACACACATATATATATATATATATATATCTCCCTATAAATATAAGAATATACATTTATCTAAATCCAAAGAATGAACAAATATCCAAGAATAAACCCTAACGTATGCTAACAACTTACTAAAATGATGCATCAATGTAGATTCATCTAGAGTAATCATCCTGCTATTCCAGTGAGAGAGATTGATAGTCAGGGAGGCTATACATGTGTAGATAGGCAAAGCATATAGAGGCAAGAGCTACCTGGGAAATCTCCACACTCCATGTTCTGTGTTGCAGTGAATCTAAAACTGCTCTAAAAGTTATGATTTCTTTTTAAAGAACTGCAGGGACAAAAATAGAGCAGAGATTGAAGGAAAGGCTATCCAGTGACCCGCCCAACTTGGTATCCATCCCATAGGTGGGCTCTAAACCCTGACACTATTACTGATGCCATGTTGTGCTTGCAGACAGGAGCCTAGCATGGCTGTCCTCTGAGAGGCTCTACCAGCAGCTGACTGAGACAGATGCAGATACTTACAACCAGGCATTGGACTGAGGTCAGGGATCCCTATGGAAGAGTTGGGGGAAGGGCTGAAGAAGCCGAAGGAGATGGCAACCCCATAGGAAGACCAACAGTGTCAATAACCTAGACCCAGACCTCCCAGAGACAGAGCCACTAACCAAAGAACATACACAGACTGGTTTGTGGCCTCTAGCACATATGTAGCAAAGAACTGCCTTGTCTGGCCTCAGTGGGAGGGGATGCACCTAATCCTGTATGGACTTGATGCCTCAGGGAAGAGGGATATGGTGGGGTGAGATGGGGGCAGGTGGGTGAGCACCCTCTCAGAGGCAAAGGGAAGATGGATGGGGGTAAAGAACTCTTGAAGGTGGGACTGGCAACGTGAACTGTAAATAAATAAAACAATTTTTAACAAGATCTTATTAAATAGAGTTTCAAGACAGAGCAGTGAAAGAGGGGATGGCTAACCAACGATTGCCCCAAGTTGAGATCTATCCCATGGGCAAGAACCCTGACACTAGTAATGATACTCTGCTATGAGTACAGACAGGAGCCTAGCATAACTGTCCTCAGAAAGGTCCCACCCAGCAGCCAACGGAAAGAGATACAGAGACCCACAGCCAAACATTAGATGGAGCTCAGGGAGTCTTATTAAAGAGTGAGGAGAAGGATTGAAGGACCTGAAAAGGACAGGAACTCCACAGGAAGACCAAAATAGTCAACTAACCTAGACCCTTAGGGACTCCCAGAGACTGAATCACCAACCAAAGAGTCACCATGGGCTGGACCTATGCCCCTGCACATATGCAGCAGAG